CTACTAGAACATAAAATAATCCTTAGGAAACAAGTTACGCCAAATTCTTATTTGCAAATTTAAAATTATGTCCTTGCAAATTTCGTGAAAAAGATATATATTTATATGGATCTTAACTCTCACGTTTAGAACAGAACTAAATTATGATGTAAAAATATTTTTCCATGATAGTTTTAATTTAATATTTTGTATTTAGATGATTCTTAAAATATGCATAAGAAATTTAAAATTTAATTACATCTTTGCCATTGTTGATTTGTTTAATAAATTGAGATATCCGTCCTGTCAGTTTCAGAAAACAAAAAACAAACAAAAAAAAACAAACAATAAAGATCTGAAAAATAAACGTCTTAATTTTTAGTGATACGTGTTATAAGACGGGGCCTAATATGGGCCAAAGCAGTAAAATCGATATTTCTTTTTATCAGATTATCTGAGCTGAAATATCTATAATTTTAAATCCCTATCAATATCACATGTGCTTTTTTCTACTTTAATGGCTTTATTATCAAGCAACATTACAAAATAGCCACAAAACTGCATTCGGATCCATAATTCTGCAACCGTTAGAATAATGCACCACTGACCAGAATGAATAAATAGTTGAGCCTGAATACAACACACATGTCCTGAAGATTAAATTTAAGCATAAAACAGACTGTCGCAGCTGTTTGTTTACCTCAGTGTCCACTTTTATACACACACACACACACACACACACGCACCCACACTATATGTGGATGTGTGTAGATTTAATATTCCGTTTAATTTGAGAAATATTAAAGCAACAAAATTATAACAATGCTGACAATAATAATAATGACATTTATTATATATATATATATATTGACTAAATTTAAGCGCGAAGAGAAAGATTACAAGTGTTTTATTTCTCAAATTTCATTAACTGGCCTATTAAAACGACATATTGTAAAAAGTACATGTGAACATTCTTTCGTCTCATATATATATATATATATATATATATATATATATATATATATATATATATGTGTGTGTGTGTGTGCGCGTGTGTGCGCACGCGCGTGTTTGTATATGTATATATAATCAAATATATAGTATATTATGAAATATATTATCAAACATATATATTTAAATATAAATATTATCACAAAATAAATTATATTTTTCATATATGTGTGTGTGTGTGTGCTGTCACAAAATAAATCATATTTAAGTTATGTATAATCTCCTATATGAGAGGGAATACTTAACAATTTCGTGATAGATTAAGAAGTAACTTGACGCGTAACAAATGAAGAAAAAATCTTATAGGGACATGAATTTTCGAGGCACTTTATGAGTAATCAGGCCTGGATAATATAATGCTTATTCAGCATATCCTAGTTTGGAAAAATAAAGAAGAGGAATGCTGCGAAAAAGTATTCTTTTCAAATAAATGATAATGTTGAAAGCAAAAGGGCAAGAAGCTGTGGAGGACCATGATCGTCTATGTCCCGAAGGAAAGATGTTTATAGGCAAAAATATACATGAAAAGAGAGAGAGAGAGAGAGAGAGAGGGAGAGAGAAGGAGAAAGAGATTGCTATCAGGTTTGCTCATATATTTAGGTGTAAGTGCACCTCAAGACGATATAATGTTTACCAATCTTGTCTCAATTACGACGTAGTAGTGTGTTCGATCCTCACTGGGTGCCCCATACCTTCGGCCTTGTGACACTTCTAAGCTACGCTTGGAAAATCGCTATATTTAAGTGTTAATGACTAGTCCTTTATTAAAATGTTTACATTAGAAGAGGGAAATTGGGTCTTAGCTGTATAATCTCACGTCAAATATCTACGTTCAAGTACCTGGCTTTGACTGAAGAGAAAGAGAGACCAAATAAGTGAGGATTTCATTGATTTTGCTTTATAATCGCGTGTTCCGTCCTCTGCAAAATCAATCATAGAATGGGTTTTCGTGAACCAACCCTTTCTTTGAATTATTCTTTTGATTTTCTATCTTGCGCCATTTTTTTTATCGACCGACCTCGTCGTATAATCGTATAAATCTACCATAGGGAGTGTCCAGTGATGTTACTCCAGGTCAATCAACAAACCTTAATAATGATAGGTTAGTAGAATGGCCGGCAAGTAAGAGATTGCATGAAATCACCTGTCATCAGAGACCTAGAGTATCAGCTCTTTGCAAATGATTTACGTCTAGGAAATCCGTGATGAATGTTTTATGACATAGAAAGGATAACGATGAGTCAATATGGAACTATTCAGTGCCTGCTTATTGATTCAGGTGTGTGTCCGATTGTGGGCTGTCCGTTAAAATGTATTGCTTCTAAGCGCTTACCACCCTTCGAACTACCATGTTCATTTAAATTTCCAGTGAAAACCAGTGATGTGTATAATATTTTATATAAATGGCGTCATTAAGCTTTTCTTTTTATAGACGTCTTGATCGTAATGAAAAAATAGTGGTTAGCTGTCTATTAACACTTTAGCGAGTTTGATCCTCACTATGTCTTCCATGCTTGCAGATTTGTACAAGACTAAAGTATCTTTCAGTATCTGTCTATATTTCTGAGATGAGGTATTATGTACACTATTTACATTATACGGACTATTGTCCTCATCTTTGTCGCCTTATTTATTACAACGTTTCGGCCATTGTACGCTCTGGCCTTCTTCAGTTGGTTGGAATGTCGAACTGAACCCTTTATTTCGCTCACTGGGGTAGACTGATCTAGTTCCACGTCCATTTTTTTAAGTTCCCTCTGAAAGTTATGCACTGCCTTAACTGGGTATTGAACTCATACTCTTTGGGTCCTGTCACTGGATCTAACTAACGCCTTTATCCACTGTTCTCTGTGTCCTTTTGTAATCCAGGTGTAAGGGGGACTAGGATAGTACACACCACACCTAGGAGAGTACACAGCACACCTAGGAGAGTACCTACCACAACTAGAAGAGTACACACCACTCCTAGGATAATACATACCACACCTAGGATAGTACATACCCTACTTAGGATAGTACATACCACACCTAGGAGGGTGCATACCACACCTAGGAGGGTACATACCACACCTAGGAGGGTACATACCACACCTAGGATAATAGACACCACACCTAGGATAGTACATACTACACCTAGGATAGTACATACCACACCTAGGAGCGTACATACCACACCGTAGTCGCGAATGCAATAAGAAATATATGTATTTAGCAATTGTTGTCGTTGATATTATGGACCATAGAGAGTCACATGTCCGCAGAGATTTCTTGTGTGAATTATACAACCTAGAAGTTTATTCAGATTTCGTGGTTTGCTTTACTTCTGGATTCCGATTTGTTTTAATCAAAATGATTGAAGATTGGCGATTTTTGTGAATCACCTTTTGTTATGAACACTTTCTTATAATTTTGAACATTCAGTTTACTTTTAACCAATCGCTATATTCTTTGAAAGGGATTAGTTCCATTTTAGAAAAATGAGTTCCTGAATTTTGCTCAAGGAGTTCAGATCAGCCATTATAATCAATTTGTAGATAGGATCAAGCACATGAAAATCTAATTTTTTAAAAAGAAACTTGATACTCATAATAAAACGGGTAAAAATTGGTCAATGTGAACGTAGTTGTATACTCAAATATAGCAACAATTCTATGTTGAAGTTTATGAAACATATTTCTTTCGTTAATTGACCTTCAACGCTAAAAAAGTTTTACTTTGTTATAGTGGATGGTTACAAGTGAGAAGTGAGATGGCACATGCTTATTTTATCATCATAAACGCTATGGAGAGAAAGGACAATAAAAGAGTGCAATAAATTTTCGGATTATATTGTGAACAATCTACAACATATGCCTCACTCTTTTCTATCTTTAATATGAAGTAGAATTGTAGTGAACATCCCCAAACAAGACTGAATTGTAAAAATTATGGCTCCTTAAGTAGTTTTCCTATTAATAAACTTGAAAATATATAAGCACTGTATTATTCTTGTCTTTGTACAAGACCAAGCTTTCTTCAAAGAATTTTTAAGCATTACCCTCTAAGCAAGGGGATAAAGCCACTTAAAACCAAGGGTTTATTGAGAGTAAAAAAAAGAGAAATGCTGTAATATAGCAACAACTCTGATTAGAAGCTTATGAAGCTTTATTTGACCAATTAAGCTTTATAGCTGAAAACGTATATTTTATTATAGTGGATGGTTACAAGCAAGAAGGGAGATAAAATATGCTTATTTTATTATCACATATGCCTTCAACAACAGATAAAATGTATTGTCATTTTGATATAAAAATATTGTTAGTAAATCTGCTTTCAAATATATTGTTGATTATTCTACTTTAAATAGGTATTGTTGTTATTATTCTATATAAAAATGTATATTTATAATTTCATACATTTTTTTATTATTTTGTTTAGGGGTTCTCTATTTGCCTATAGCTGGGGGGCTAACAAGTTCTTTCATTGCGGATCTGGTTGAACTTGGGAACCACAGCAATTAAGATTTAGTTCCATGCTACTCAACATCTCCAATCTACTGAAAAGCGGCCTTGCAGCCGGATGTAAAATATCGTCATATCCACGAGTAAAAAAGGCAAAAACGATAGAGAGTAATATGAAAGAAAAGGGAAATCGTCAAAATACTCAGACAACAAGGAAAAGAAAGAGAATTAAAGAATAAAAGAAAATTAAATGAATTCTAAATTTAATACAAGAGAAATGTGAGAAGACAATTATTTCGAATTTAAAGGAAAAAAATCTTACTTGTATTTTCATTGTTACTTCTCTGAGGAAAAGATTCCTTTCACTTTGCGCATTGTTAAATCTTAAACAATCATGATATGTTTTGGCTAACTTTCTTCCTCGGAATTCTGCGGGTCGGTATTTGTAATTAATTAACAGGGGCACTTCAAAATCCATGGCGTTACAGAAAAGGTGAATTCGATCCTCACCGGGTTCTCCGTACGCTTCACCTTGCACCACATATATAGAAAATCACAATATCGTTATAGAAACAGCTTCGATTGTTACTAGCTTCTTCTTCTTCTTCTTCTTTTTCTTCTTCTTCTTTTTCTTCTTCTTCTTCTTCTTCTTCTTCTTCTTCTTCTATGTCCCTTGTCCATTCAGCCCGTGTCTGCTTTGCCATTCGTGCTCACTAGTGTTCCCTGTTTCTTCTAACCGTCTTGCTTTGAATATGCCTTGTGAGTATCAAGTTTTTCAAGCTTTCTTTCTTCATTATGCTGACCAGAATTTAAGAAAATTATGACTCTAAGTATAAATGTCCTTTCTTTTTTTTCTTTTATATGTTATGTCCCTTTAAGCTCTCCATAATTTATTGTCCTTTGTAGCGCTTAGTAAATGTTGTCTGTTTGCTCTTTCTCCTAATCTCTTTTCTGCCAAACGCAAGATTGTTATGTAAGTTACGCGCTGTTTTTCTTTGTTCCTCTTGTCTTCAGTATATCCTGTGAGTGTCAAATTTTCTAAACACTCTTTCTTCCTTTCGCACCCTAGATATTTCAACTGTTTCTTTCTGATGTTAAAGGTGTCCATTTTGTTTCCACACGTAAACATCACGCGCATTGCATTAGAGAGAAAACATGTTGGTGGGAAACATTTCGATAACCAAAACCTGAATTCGCACCCAGAAAACGTCACTTTGTTTCTCTGGAGTATTTCGAACTAAATTTAATCAATTAATCACATCGATTAATAAAGATATCATCGGTCAGTAACTAATAAGTTTAGTCGAAACTTTCATATGTTTAGTATAATCCTACTCAAAAATACAAAAAAGCACTTTATCGATATCAAGAATATATAATGTCGTAAATATATTTATGCAAAAAATAAAAACTAACATGCCTTACTTGAAATCAGTACGTTTGTATGTTTGTAAAATGCACACGACGAACCAAAAATATCTTGATTTTCCGGATGGTAATTCCTGTTCCGCTCACAAGAAATCTTAGCTTTTTTTCTCCACAATACATTGCTAAAGTCCATGCCATGATACAGTAAGTTGTCTATGTCTTTTCCTTCCACTTCTCAAAAGACTGAAAGCAGGTTATAGAATACTGTAATATGGAAATAATATTTTATAGTTTTAATTAGCAACGATATCTCGTTGACTCCAAGCAAAAAATAAGTGGCTAAAATTTAATGGAATTTTCTCAATACACGCTAATGATCTTTATTTCTCTTGCGCGCATTAGCGAAAAGGCATAGCCATTATTCAATTCCATCAACGGAACTATCTAGTCAAAGAGCTCTGAATAAAATGGATTTTTTATTATGACATACACACACACACACACACACACACACACACACACACACACACATATATATATATATATATATATATATATATATATATATATATATATAAGCCTATGTAAAATATATACATACTCAGAGTGCTTAATGTGTTCATATAGATTATAGACGTTGTTTTCGCTTGATTTCCGTCAAATTTCACAATAAGTATCAATTTTTCGAAGTGATAATAAAATCTTATTATGCATTATGGAAAACGATCTCCCACAAAATTAGTTAAGTAATCAGTCATACTTTGCGAAAGGCTGGACTCCCCAAAGTAATACTCGTTTATAGCAAGTGCACATTAATAAAATTATAAGTTAATAAAAGTATCACCTGTATATGTACGAATAGAAAAGATTCGTATACATATATTTTGAAATGAACTTAGTCCGATAATTATTTTAATATATTTTCTGTTTATACGTTATGTTTACAGATACAATTATTTAAGCAAATGCTCAGTTTATAATAAACTGTATTAACTACATTTACCGGCCTGATTCGAGGCTGATAAATATAGTTAATACAGATAAACAAATGTTTAACTAAATCTATTGTTTACCTAACTACCATCTCTACAAATGGGAATCCGACAGTTGAAAAATTCTGTATTGGTAGTTCTAAAAATTATTTTAAGGCTAAGTGGTATTGTTGTGGGCCCGTGGCGGTTACCACTTGTTGAGGGTTCATGGCGTGGCTGTTATGTTGTTGATAGAATTCAGACGTAGACGAAATGCAAGTAAGGTTCAGATATTCCTGCCCGCCAAGCGCAACTACATAAAAAGGTTGGACTTTGATTAAGTCCAAAGAAGAAGGTAAAGAAAGCAAACAAAACACAAGACCGATAATATATGTATATAAAAATATATATTAATAACAAGTTACAATACATGGAAACAGTACAAAGTACGAAGTGTGTGTGAATATTCTGTATGTGCGTGCGTGTGTGAATATTGTGATTAGCGTGTTTCCACGCTATCCCTTGTTAGCATCTACATTTCGAGGTTGATAGCTGAAATCCTGAAGGAAAAAGAGATAGAGGCGAAGAGTCAGCGGCTATTTATAGCCAGGGAAGAGAGACCCCTGGTGAAAGGGTTAAGGGAGTGAAGGAGGAGTTAACTCCGACAGTATCAACATATATTATACTCCACCATTAATAATTATAGAAATGATGCATCATTTTCTAAATATTTTGGTGTATTAAAGATGATAAAATTATTAAGGATCCGTATATGAACCTTGTTTTCTGTGTTTATATGAAAAATTGGAAATTATCAGATACTTTGATGAGAATTCTTTATTAAATCCAAGATTCAAAATAGCGGAAAATTGTGAAGACAGACTACCTAACCTTACAATTGATTTAGACTTTGGAATTTGACAATTTTTTTTTCTTAGATTTTAGTTGAACTGTGTTGTACTATATATAGCTTATCCTTCTAATTGTATGATTAATTTTGGATTTAATGTAGTTCTGTACTGATCACCTGGTAGTATCGATAACATCTCATATGGATGTATCGGTATTTAGCTAGTATTTTTTGACATTTTACATTGATTTGTTAATATTATTAATATCTCATATGGGTGATATTTATTTAACGGTTGCATATGATTTGCCAAATAATTCTACATGTTTAGATTATTTACTATATTTTTAAAGGCCTCTTATTTATCAATTGCAAAAAAATTGTATAAAATCCACAAAGCAATAAATAGTTGGGCATGAGGTTAAATTACCTCCACACCCTTCGCTTTTATTTCTCATGGAAATTTAGTCTGGCATGTGCATATGTATTTTAATCATTTGTATCAGTCTTTACATTAATGTTTGGCTGCTGTCAGATATCAAATCTCTGCCATGACACATTTCTAAGATAGAATTTCTTTTTTTTCTTTTTCACTTAGTTTAAATTTAACGTAGGTAAATATTCGATTGGTTGATCGCAAAGATGTGAATATTACATTGAGAATACAACGGACAGAATATATCAACAATGAGGTAAAGTAGACAACCACTAAGAAAGTAACAGATGCTAATCTATCAGTAAAAATATTTACTAAACGTCAAGACAAAAGAAAGATCGCTACCAAGCAAAAACAAGAAAAAAACAACATGGGTTACCTATATAATGATTCTGATTAAATTAATAGCAAAACAAATGCCACGAAGACAGAGGAGGATTCTAGCATTCTTAAATTCACGAAAATGTAGATCCATAACCACACCACGTTTTTAAATCACATCACAAATAAATGAAGAAAAACGCATGTGGATATATTTATATATATATATATATATATATATATATATATATATATATATATATATATATATATATATATATATATAAACTTAAACTTATAAATGCAAGCAGCTATGTTATTTTTACTTTACTCGTGTCGGAGCTATTTTTTTTTTGGAATCTGAACTTAAATTCTAGACGATTATTTTCGCCGGAAGTACATATTCTTAGTTCTATCTTTTTTTTTTTTTAAACTTGTTTTCCCTTTGGTATTGCTTTGTTCATTTACAAACTAAAACACCTAAGGTTTTGCGGGGCGAGTATAGCTGGTTACATTTATAAGTTAATTAGTGTTATATATATATATATATATATATATATATATAATAGCTGGCCACTCGTATTCGAGGATACCAGTCTACTAGGGCGGCTAGCCAATCCCTATTGCAGACTCTTGCTCAGACACATTTTGTTTTTTTCAGCACCCACAGAGCCAACCTTTGGTTTATGTTGGAAATATGCTGAGCAGCTCTTAGTTACTGTTTCTGCGAGAGAGTGTGTTATCTATTACTCGTATGATCAACAATCGACACAACAGCCCGCTCCAACCCTCGTTCATGATGACTTGTGATTTCGTGCTGCTACCGCTATCGATGGCCGCAAGAGTTCCGTCTACCCAGTTCACTCACACGGGTTGGGTCAACCCGCGGTATGTTTTTCAGGGAATTTTCAAAGGTGCCACACGCTGGGATCATCCCCATTCCAGGCCAATAACCTCAGGATATATATATATATATATATATATATATATATATATATATATATATAAACAAATAAATATAAATATATATATATATATATATATATATATATATATATATATATATATATATATATACCCACATATAAATGATGTATGAGGTAGTGTTAAATGAACCCCCTAACATTTACAGACCGGTGTATTGGAATGAATGGCTTCATACCCTATTCACCTCGTTCAACAGACATCACGCCCCCGGACTTTTCTGTATGGGGGTAAAGATATCACCGATCTAAACATTGATACCATTGGCACAATTGATGAGGCTTTTGCTACAGTGAACATTGCAAGAAACTCAGTACCGTCTTGATGTGTTTCGTGCAACTAATATGCCCATATGTATGTATGTATGTATAGCTGGTCACTCGTTTTCGATTATACCTGTCTACCAGTGTGACGAGCCAATCCCTACGCTTGCTCAGGCTCATTTGTGTTTATTCAACAACCACAAAGCCCACCTGTTGTTTATAGTTCAACTATGCTGAGCAGACCTTAATTACATTTTCTGGGAAATAGCGTGTTTTCCATTGTGATCAACAATTTTGAACCAGATCAGCACGCTCAAACCCACGCTCACGATAGCACAGCTATCGACAGACACCAAGGGTTCCGTCTACCAATTCCATTCACAAGGCTTGGGTCAACTTTCCAAAGATACCGCGTACTGAAATCGACCTCTCCAGTCCGATAACATTAGGAAGTCTCTTTCCTGACAATTTGAGGTGACATATAGAGGTGTGATAAATTAGTTAAAAAATTCATTAGCTACTTT